TCAAACTTTCAATTTCCTTGGCTTGCTCTGGAGTGTAAGGACCTGGACCAAAGGACTGAAAAAAAAACAATAAACTTGGTAAGGGTAACTGAAAGGTAAGTTGGTTCAAAACCTGGAAGAGCCAAGAATAATCATTATTTTCTTCCTCAAATAAATTAAAGGGAGAAAGACTTAGGTTTCAAGAAGCGTGAATCAAGTTTCGGGGATCTGGTCAAGACTGTCAACTTAAGATATAGACACTATGGATAGCCTCATTTTGGTGAACTAATAACTAGGTTTGGGTACCCTCGGAGTAGAAATACAATGGAGTAAAAAAACCTCTAGTACAGAAAAAAGGAGACTGGCCCTTGAATGTTAGCTTACCCCTTACTATGCTACTATTTGTGCCCTTTAGTTGGATAAATGATAAATTTGAAGCTTTTCAATCAACCAAGAAGTGCACCAGTTGACGTGCGCTAGACGTTTGACACATTAATAAAGTTACTAATTTTTTTGAATGGGCTCCTAGAAATGTGGCTTGGGCTCCTAACGTTTTATTTTGGGAGCTCAAAGGGCTCAGCAAAACCAGCATGGCGACTGCAAACAAAATGATATGGCAAGCTTTGCAGAAGCGTTGTACAAGGCGCCAACGAAGTCAGAAAAGAATTGCCTTTGTGAGTGTAGATTTTTTAATTCCTCCAGAACAGTATGCAAACACATGTATGGCAGTTTTGATTAGACATGTGACATGTAAAAGTTTGTTTTCATTTTGAGGACAAGGAAAAGTTTTAAGCTGCGAAATTCACCTTTGAAATGGAAAGTTTGTTATTAAAAGGAAACTAATGTATTCATAAATGTTTCATAGACGTTTTATATATTTTTGATAGAGTTTTCAAGAAAAATTGGGAAATGCGCCTGATCTGAGATTAATTTTTACCATGTGCTCATGCCGATTTTACTTGTGGGAACAGATCCACGATCCAGTCAGTGTTACGTGAATTGCTTTTAATGGTAAACTTATGGGTTTTCGAATGAAAATTTTCAAGAAACAATTTGTCTGTTTAATGTTTTCTGTTTGTCCATTTATAACATTAGTTGAAAACATGATCGCCAGCATCTAAGTCTTATTACACACATCACTTCTGCGAAGATGTCAGCGAATTTCATGCAATTTTTTCTTTCGAGTTCAGCAACTACTGGTGTTACTCAGACGACGATCGAATAGTATCCCATGATGCACCTCGATTCATGTTATATTATCACTGCATACGTGACACATCATTATCAGTAATCTTCAGCACGCGTGAAGTGAATATCGATCGCAGTGCTCAATGTGGATGGTTTCCAAACATGTTTCGGTTCAGCAGCTTCTGCTTTTATGATTGTCGAGTTGGCTTATATTCACTGTCCTTTAAAGGAGAATTTCAGCATTACTTTGATCAAGAATGGTTTTACATGTATTTCACTGATCTGTCGAGAACTCCTTTGTGCGCTCGGTCGCACTGTAAACACAAAGTATAAGACTCAGCAATTGATAAGCTTCGCTAGGTTCACTAGCAGAACCGTACCCAGGCCAGAGGAGAACCAAAACTATGACTGATCTATAAAGTGGTTCCAACAAAACAGCCGCTACGCTGTGAAGCTAATTACCAAAGGAGAATTTTTTACAGCATCACGCTCAAAGGAGCTGAAGTTTACAACAGCAGTTACAAATAAAATTTAACCTATCGATGTGACAAACAATTCTCTGAAGCACAATCTACCCGGTACTGACTCAAGCAATCATCAAGGAAATTTCCTGGCCAAAATACTGATCTGTTCTTTTGAATAAATAAAGTTTCTGATGTTTCTTTTTCAAATTCTGAGCAGGCCTGTTTACGTTGTGCCGGCTTGCATGCTGCGTGGTACCTTTCTTTAGGTTGTTTTCACACTGAAACACACCATTATGCACCGCTCCTTCTTCGAATTAAAATAATCATAGACAAAGTCCTTTTAAAAATAACCTCTTTGAAAATACAAAGTGATTGCTTCGGCATAAATATTAAAGCGCTCTCGAAAGCGCCCAACAGATTGTAGCCTTCAGCATGCTTTACACAGATATTATGACACATGGCGTTGAAATGTGATAGAAGATTCGAAATTTAAGCCATCTTTGGTCGACAAAAAAGTCTTTAAAATGTGGGTACTTCTGGGTACTTCTTAGCCTGTAGAATATTCAGGACTTCATTTTGCTGGCGTGACGTCCACATTTCGAAGATTTCAACATATATTCCAAAAAATCTTGAATATTCATGACCTTGTTGTGGGTCACTGAACACTTTGTGATGGAAAGACTACTTGAAACCGTGAAAATAAATGTTTCTGTGCGGAAACTTCGCTCTTAAGCCATTGCAATTCTGAGAAATCATGTCAAATAACGAAATAATGTAATTTTCTTACTTTTACTGGAAATCGAGTGAGAAAAAAGCCGACGAGAAAACGACCTTATTTCATGATGGAATCTGCCGTGACTGCGATATTGCGTGATGCTCCTGGAAAAATGCATCATGGAATACTATTCGCTCGTCGTCTGGGTGTTACTAGTTATTCTTGATAGATAGTAAGTGATTTTTTAAAGATTATTTGGGCTAATGGTCACGCAAAAACCATTTTTGAAGTAACAACTTTAAGAAATTGCTTCTCTTACAGTGCTTGTCATTTATAGTCGACTTTGTCTTGTTGGGAGGAACTAACTCATTCCTGGTCATTTCGGGATTAATACCATATTCTGTTTAATTTTTCATCAAATATCACCTCGTAAAGCAGTAAATGCTTTTTGCACCGCATCATTTTATACGTTGCCGATACAAGTTTCACACAACAATCTCACTTGTCAGTAATTCCATATTAGGAAGTAAATTTTGATTGGTTCCCTAAAAACCCCAGCATTGCGACAAAGTTATTCGCTTCGAGGTTATATGCTTCTGGCTCCCTTTAATTTTCCTTAGAACACAGCCTTCAGTTTAGTTCGTCGCATGTGAAGATCGACGTTTGACTCAGAAATCTTAAAGGTTCTATCCGTCTGAAGCAGACAAATAGAACGTGTGGGACGATCCAAGCTCATTCAGACGAACTTAACTGAGCCAGCAGTCGAGCTTTTCATGAACTTAACTCATTAAGGTTGATTCATCTCATGAAAAGTTCCACGTTTGGTCTTGGCCTTAATTACTGTAAGCTTCACTTAATTAAGCTTTACCACGTAAATATCTCATACACGAGTCTTATCATATGAAAAATCAAATGCAAAGATAAGACTCTTTTGCTTTGCTACAATATTCGGCAGCATCTTCTACGCTTACGCTTTAGGGAGTTGGCCTTTACAAAAAACAAGCTCAATAAGCGCCCACTTCAAATACACTCAGAAACTACTCCAAACCTGAATTTTCTTTTGCACATCTTGTAACACACGTACATCAACAACACTTTTCTGCTGTATAATATTGGGAGAGAAGGAACCGGCAGAAGCTGTGGTGACTGTTGGTATCGACTATGAATGAGAAAAACGAAAATGAAAGGCGTTAAAACTCAAAGTCTCAAAAGAAGCAAGCGCAAAACCTCACAACCTACCGCCATGATGGTCTCTTACTGGCTACCAAGCTAACTAGACGCGGCCACTAAGCTGAAGCCGCCATGTTTTGTAGAAGTCGTCTTTAGCTTTTGTTTTGTTTGAATTTTTCTAATAACGTTGTCCCATTATGTCCCGCCAATCGGCAGTTCGAGCCGATAACAGAAAAGTGGTGCGTTTCTTTGTGATTTGTGTTCAATTTTGGAGTGAATGAACGGTGTTTTAGAGCATACTAGAAGGTTAATGTCGTAAATTTGCTCTTTCGTCTTTCATTCGAACAGAGTGCGGAATTATTTGTGTTGACACACGGAGCACTTGTGGCACAGCTCGTCAAAGATTATGAAAGCGACGAAGAAGTTAACAAACAACTTGATAAAATGTAGGTATATTATCTGAAGAACTCTTTAATCGTCATTAGAAAATTAAGTGCATTACGTACTATTCTTTTTATGACAGTTGATCTAGCTACATGCAACTGCAGAAATAGAACTCTACTTTAATATTCAAACCTCAACAATTTCTTTTTAAGAAGAGAACTTACTGAGAGTATGATATATTACAGACAAAATGATTCGGGAATAACGAGCAGTAGTTGAAGCAGGGTTAAAGAAAGTTTAGCAATGTTTTCAGAGCTCCCTCATCCTCCAATTATGGATGTCACTAATCTGCAGCCTCATTTTGGTGAGGTCTACCCTACGAGCAGAGTCTCCGTCGATCTTCCTAGATAAGTCGGGAAGAGAAAGGAGACTCTGCTCGCGGCTTGCACTTTCTTTGATTCGCCAATCATCCAAAAAAAATGGATGAGTCAGTCCAGTTTTGAACCAGTCATACCGATTTTCTCCTTCCTCCTCCCGACTTATCTAGGAAGATCGAAGGAGACTCTGCTCGCAGGGTAGGTGAGGTCAAGGTATACATCACAAAGCTATAAAGCTACAATGGAGGTCAAGTGTGGTGGGACCTCTAACATGATGTACCATTATTTATTCCATTAAACACTGTGGCGTTTATTAAATTTTAGCGCTTCCAATGCAGCGTTTTCAAGAGCGGTGTTTATTTGAGAGCGGCGTTAATTTACGAGTGTCGTTATTTCGAAATCACTTTTTTAAATCACTGAGAACAATTATTGTAAATCTTTTTGTAAATATTATGTAATTTAAAGGTTCCAATGTCGCAAGTCTGGATGGTGTAAATTGCCAAGTTGTACCAAGGTGTTTCTTATTAGTCTCAAGTAAACATCGCATTCTTCTGATTAGGTGGGCGTTTATTCAAAGGCAGCGTTTAATAAAATAAATACGGTAATTTATTAAAACTAAGCCCTACCCCCTCCCATCCCAAACAATGAATTTGAATTTTTTTCAAGATGGGTGCAAACGAGTCCTTTTTCAGCACAACATTGCTAGTGGGGAGGTTAGGGGTAGGAGGAAGGGTGCAGAGTTGGGGGATGGAGGGATGAATGCAAAGCTGATCAAAATGTTCCCATTAGAGAAGAATCATATGCAAGTTCTTTTTACCTCTACTGCAGATATAAGTTGTGTTCAAATGGTGGATAAAATTAGCTTACATGTCTCTACTAGGAACTTATAAAAGGGCTACACTAAAGATTGCAATTTTTGTAAAGAGAAAAGCTGTACAGTTGAACCCTCATGTGCCTCTGCTTTTCCTATAAGTGACCACTTCATTCCAAAACAGAAAAATTTTACCTGTCAAAGACCAATAGTTAAAGCAACAGCCTCTTGAGATCGTGTTTTACCTGGGTCAGGTTGAAAACCTTTTACTACCTAACCTTTGTCTTGGGCGCCACAATAATATTGTTATTCCTGATCCAAGCCCATTCAACTGTTCTTCCGGCTGGGATCTCAAGAGCATCTACAGCTTAAGCTCTCTAATACAATCAAATATCTGCCAACATTATCATTACATAACAGAATAATGCAACCTTCTACAATTTATTGTTTCAGGGGCTACAATATTGGAGTAAGATTAGTTGAAGATTTCTTAGCAAGATCAAATGTCGGTCGGTGTCACGACTTCAGGGAGACTGCTGATGTTATTGCCAAGGTAAACTCCACATGTATTCAAGACATTAACTTTGTTTTGTAACACAATCCTATTTGGTATAAAGATTATGTTGCATTGAAAAGGGCCCCTGCTGCAACAGTATCACAGAGGTCAGTGTTTGAATTTCAGCAAGCCTGAATTGTTTCAAGCTCTCTTTTCACAACTGTGATGATCACTTCTGCATTTATTTTTCTATCCCTCTGTTCAAATATATTTTCATAATTTCAGTGTTATGTTACATCTGAATTATTTGTTTCAGCTATTTGCTCATTTCTTCTAGCCTCTTTGCCTTAACACTGCCAAGAGGACATAAATCTAACTGAAAATAAAAATGCCAGTTATTGCTTGTCATTCACTAGAATTTATATACTGATGAGCTTCAAATCCTTCTGCCAACTCCCTGTCACAAACACTACAAGTGATTCTTGGTGTTGTGGAAACTATTGTTGGTTAGCTATTGTGTTGTGGTGTGGGTATTGTGCGGTGTCCTTTCAAACTTTTGTTTCATGTCAGTTAGTGATTGACCCATCTGCAACACCAAGAAACTGCCAAAAACCACCAAGGAAGGGTTGGAACGTAAGAAATAACATTTAGATGACCTCATATTAATGAAAGCTCATCATAAAGAAAGTTGTTCATAAGTGCCTATTGTAATTTTGCTAACATTTAGAACTTATAAATTACTAATCTTATTTTCAATTTTAACTTATTTAGGTATAGGCAAGGTTATTGTTTACTTTCATTCTTCTTGTTCTTGTCTTTATAGCTGGGCTTCAAAATGTTCCTTGGATTTTCCCCAGTGGTAACAAACTGGAGTGCAGCATCAGATGAATTCTCTTTAATCTTGGACAACAACCCTCTGGCAGAGTTTGCTGAGTTACCAGAAGGTCACGAGGGGCTTCTGTTTTCAAACATTCTCTGTGGTGTGTTGAGAGGAGCCCTAGAAATGGTAAAAAATTATACTAACTGCTGCAAAAATTAATACAGTTGAACCCCTGTAGGTGATCACCCAAAATCAAAGACTTAGTGGTTCTTACAGGAGGTGGTCACTTACCTGACAAGAACCATAGGGGGCCTCTTCCGAGAAGTTGTCCGAACACATCTACTTTATTATGGAAGATTATTTTAATTATTTGTTTTGATTTCTAAGTAATACGTTATGTGCAGTTCCACATTGCTACTAAAGTTCTTTGTATATTCTAAGAACATAATACACACAGCAAACATAGAAATCAGACAATTTGTCAAGTGGTCACTTTCAAGAGGTTAAAAACAGTGGAAAATCATTGAACCATCTAGCCTCATGTGTGGTCATGGTCACCTACAGGAGGTGGTGGTTTACGAGAGGTTCAAACTGTAAGGTGTTGATTGGGAAAAATTTTGGTGTTTTGAATTAGTGGTAACTTATGGGATAGGAGGTGGTCGCTTTCAAGAGGTGATCACACATGGAGATTTTACTGTACTTGCTGTATTTTCAACCGTCACACACCCTAAATTTTACCCGTTCAGGAAAATATTGTCCCTCCTTTGTCGTATCCTGGCTACTTTTTAGGCACATTGTCAAGCTGTATGGTCTACAAATTTTAATAATTCTCAAGATTACATGTTGTAATCAGTAAGATGCCTTTTCCATTATGTTGAAGCCATTTTTGAAAATTTGGAGTCACTTCAGACTGTATAAATGAAGTATTTTTTGTGTGCCTACTCTGCAAGATCTGCTATCTAGAGATACTGATCTTTGGAAGTGGATTCTTCACAGAATGTGATTAATTCTTACGTTGTGTGAACAGGACCTTTCATATACACAAAAGCTGTTCTTGGAATTATTGGAATTAATAATTAGAAAATCTGAAAATTTGGAGGTCCAAATTAATGCACCCTCAGCACTTGAAGGTGTAACTGTTTTGGTTGCCATGCTAAGTAGAAACAAATGTTGGTGATTAAAATATGCTGTATAAGTATAAATGTGGCACACCAAAGTGTTTTTGTTAGTTCATGTTTTTGGTCTTTCTACTGTAAAATTACAGTGAGATCACTATTATTTAATTTTTTGCTCTACTTTCTTTCCCACCCTGGCCGACCAATTATTAAGCCTTGAGATGTCATGGGTACCTCCATTGTGGTTTGCAACAGTCGGGTAGCCATTAGGTTGCTCTGATAAAGAATTTTTTTTTGACAACCAATATCCTATTTGACCTATTTCTGGTGACCATTTTGTAATATGAAAAGGTCGCTAAAAGGCGATTTTTTAAAAAATAGTTGTGAATGAAGCACTGACCCTGAGTGTATGCTGTTATAAGATGCCAAGTAATTGAATATTTTGTTTCTCTGTTTATGTTTTCAAGGTGCAAATGGAAGTTGATGTGTGGTTTGTTCAAGATTCCTTGCGTGGAGATGATACTACTGAAATTAGACTCAAATTTGTTAGGAAATTAGAAGATGCTTTGCCAGCTGGCGAGGATTAGAAACTTTATTATGTATTTTGACATTTAATGTAATGTAAAAACAGCAGTTTTAGTAACACAAAATGTGATCAGGACTAAAGCTTTAGGGAAAGAGAGAATTTGGAATCTTAATATTTCTTCAGCACAAGAAATAGGCCATTTCTGAGTTGCTCTAAACCACTGCTTCATAGCGAGGCTAAGTTTGAAGCCATTTATATGAAACTAATTTTTAATTATTAATTATTAATTTTTAATTATTTTAATTATTCTCATGCAAATGAAACTCGTTTTCACAATAAAGGTTGTGAACTTAGGGCCTGTTTACATGGAGGTGGGGGGCCTGAAGGTAGGTGGGGTAACCCGCCTGTGCATACAATCTCTCATATTAGTTTGATCACGTTTACATGATGGGTGAGGTGATCATATGAGAGTTTATATGGACAAGCAGGTTACCACACCTAAGCAAGTTACCTAACCTACTTGGATCCCCCACCGTCGTGTAAACAGGCCCTTAGCCTCGTTTTGAGTGTGAGAGTTTTTGGAACTCGAAAATGGCCTATTCGTGAAATACTTACATGTAAATTATTGTTAATCCATTCAGTTACGTGACGAACTAATCTCACAGTTAAATAGTTGTTTCATTAAAAACATTTGTGGCCCTTAATTCTGATTAGCTTAGGTTATCCGGTTTCTTCAGTTTAAGGCAGTGTGGGTTGTTTCGATTTTAGGTAGCTGGAACATAAATAATCTGATAAAAAAGGATCATTTTGTTAATTATAGCTGTCAAATCTTATTTGTTTAGGAATCAAAGGCCTTATGCTTGTTTGGCGAATAGGTTATAATCTAAAGTAGCAGTCCTTGAAACCAATCGAAATTGGCATTCTCTGACCGAGAGGAATAGTTGCTTATATCATCATTAAAAAAACAATGGACAGGTTTTTTTGCCAAGTGATTTGGCAGGGTATACTCACACCATGCGTGCAGAGTAAAACGTGAGCTGGAAAGCACAGTCGGTAGAGCGCTTTACTGTAGAGCGGGAGATCGTGGGTTTGTTTCTGTTGTTTCCTAGGGCCGGACCAATACTCTGTAGGGTCTATAGCTGGGAAATGAAGGCACTGCCCCCTGAAACGGCTACACCTTTGTGTGGCTCGGATGACCACGTAAAATGGCGGTCCTGTCTTTGGGGTTACCGATCGTTTCGACACAAGTGTAATAATTATTCAGTCGAGTTGTAAATATTTTCACGTGCTTGGCTTAAAGAACGAAGAATATTCACCCAAAATGCTTTCCTTGTTCACGCGCAAGCTATACTTGAAGTGATCGAAATTTATGTGCAATTTCACTGCTTGAGTTTGTATCCAAACGACTGGTTACCGTCTTTAGAAGCGGACGTAAAAATTGTGTCTAATTAGCACTTTCTTGCTAACACGTTAGCATTCAAATAAAGTACTTATGTGGCCCTTTTTTGTAAGAAAGTGCAACTGCCTCTTGCATGTACATCCCAACGGTCTTGCGCTAAGTGATTACACTTAACAATCCATCCGAAATGGTACTCTCTTCTTGAACCAACTGAGTAACTGACCCAAGTTTCAGGGGCACCCAACAAGAATATAGTTCAAAACCACTTTAACATAGCATTGTTAAACGTATTTTAGTATTTAAACGGTAGATATAGGAATATTTTTATGCCCTAAAAATTTTTCATCTGTCGGCGGATTTCCAAGCTGAAAAAGTGATCTGAAAATTAAAACTTGCCTTTTCGAAAATTTCAGCCAGAAACAAGGCTCCCGAAAATTCTAGGTGACCTTTTTAGGCGGTAAAAATCCGTTAAAAAGGGGCAATTATACCATTTTTTAGATGTTCGAAAATCCTAGGAGCGGCGGGCAAGCAAGAAATTTTACAACAAATGTTCCGAAAATTCTAGATCTCAAATCGTCTTCCGAACAGATATTTTCCGAAAATTGACGTTGGGTGCCCCTGAAGTTTACGACACAGGCTGGCGCCATTTCATTTTCAGAGCATTTAAGACACTCGAAAAAACTTCAGTTGAGTTGTCTAAGTACGGATACATGTCGGTAACACGTGATATTCAATCTAAACGTCTAAAAGAAAGAAAATAGTAAATAAAAATTAATTACATTTAATAGCAAGGGATTTCTTCCGGAACAGTTTAGCGAATAATTTTTGCAGTAAAATTTGTTCGCGTCTGGAAAAAGCAACTGAAGTGTTACAGTTTCCGGATATGAGCTTAGATCTTGCTTTGACAAGAATAATCTATTAAAGCTAAGGCAAAGAGAACTTTCTAGAGTTTAATATAATTGAAAAGAATCTTATTGCATTTTTGACAAATTGATGTGCTGCGACGTCTGGAAGGTTGTCGAAGCTCTTTTTGTAAACTTGAAGGAAAACAAGGCTAAATACCCGGAAGCATTGGAAATGCTACCTCAAGCAAACACAGACCGGGAAAACGTCTGTAAAAGCCGGAGGAAAAAGCCTTCAATAAACAAAAGTGCAAGGGAAGTGGAATTGTTTTGGGGAAACGTTAGTTTTGGCTTTGGCAATTCTTTGACAAATTTGAAAAGGAAGGACACTTTAAGTCCTTTAAAAACGAGGAAATTTCTAGAAATATTTTCATTGAAACTCATCTTGTTTTGACATAAAGCGGGAGAAAAAACTTGAAAACCATCCCTTGAACTTGGAAAGTAATTTTGTTGCCAAAACTCAGGAATCTGCACTCATGCCACGGGCAAAATAATAAACTTGACTTTTATGAAAAAAGTTGGAAAATTACAAAAAATAACTGCTTCTTTTATACGGATAGTTCCTTTTAGGATTACGTGTGATCGTCTCTACCTGCTTTACTTTCAATTATGTCGGGTTCTATTTTTTCTTCCAGTTGTGCAAGTAGTTGTTGTAAAATCTGAACTGCCTTTTTTCTCTCCACTCGAACATTTTCATCTTGATTGGCCTCAACAGCGTCCAGTTCTATCAAACAACGGGTGAGAACTTCTTCCAGAATCAAATATTCCTTGGTTTTGATGCTCTCACTGAAAGCATCGACTTCTCTCGCTAGATCATCAGCTTTCTTAAGAATGCCTCCAATTTGTAACAGCTTTTTCTCGCTTTCTTGTTGCCCAGTTTCTGACGCCTTAGGGGATAAGTGCGGAAGTTCAAACGGCTCAGGTTGGTCCTCGATGGTTCTTTGACCTTGAACGATATTGCTTTCTTCGGGATGTAAATGAGCCTGATATTCTTCCCTTCTGTCATTTATCTCTTCATTTATGCGTTCTTGAACACCTCCGTTATCACGTTCGATGCTCACATGAATCTCTTCATCATAGGAACTCTTTGGTTCAACGAGCTCACTCTCACAATCTGAAAATTGCTCGGAAGGTTGCGGCTCTTCGTGACTACCCGTTTCTTTCAGACTGTGACTTTCGCAGAAATGACTCCCCTCTATTTCAAGAGTTCCATCTTTTCTTCCGTCGGATTCAACATAAATTGGTATATCAAAGGAAGTTTTATTTCTGTCTGTAATACCGGATGCGTTTAAGGTCCGTCGTGTCGGCGCCAAATGGCTTTCCCCCGAGCTTTCAGGTCCATAAGTATTCCTTCTTCCCAGTTTGATCGGGCGACTGGGAACTGACGAGGTATAATGCTCTTCAAACACCCTGACTAAATCCCCAACAACAGGATTTTCCTGGAAGAAATGTCTTCTTTGTTCCCTTTCTTCGGATTTATTTAACTGTTCATCAGTTGTATCCCCATTGTACCCCTGTTCCTTCAGAAGATCTGTCGATAAGGTCAAAAATTTTCCTGAAATTTTGTCATTTTCACTCTTTTCCCTTTCATTTAAGCCTTGTCTGGATATTTCAGCTGAGTTTCCTTCTGCATCATCTGCTTCTCTTTCTTTTGGATATAAAGTTTCTAAGAAAATGCTCGGTTCACAGGGCAAACTGTAAGATCGAATGCCGATCCGAGTGCCGCGGGGTTTTCCTTGTTCCTCCTTTGTTCTCATCACGCTTCGCCATCTAAATTCTGGATCAACTTTTATCGGAATTTCTCTGCTCGCTGCCATCTTTACCCTGAATCCACGAAAAGAAATTTAAAGGTCAAACGTTCCTTTGAGATTATGAGATGAACTATTAAAAGATAATTCTTCTAATTGAGCTCGAGATAAACCTTTTAACGATATTGGCCTAATAACGTTGCGCATCATCACGGTAGTCAATGTGACCTTGGAAAACACCAAACACGAAACTATTTATCTACTACTCCGAGCTTAAAATTAATTTCTTTTGTAAATCTTGCTAAAATTTGCATCATAAATCATATAGTTAGTCCGTCCGGCAATTTTCTTCGTAAGGGCCGGGTCATCCAGGTTTCACAGACTGACAAAAGTTACCTCATAATGAACAATGAATCTCTCATCAAACATGCACCGTATGACACCCGTATTCTCCGTTTTGATAGTTTATTTTCCGTAGCTCTCAAAGGTAAATTTCTTCAATTCATGTTATTTTTCCTTCTTTTACCGCAACCCCGGTCTAAAATCACTCATTATAATTATCTCAGTCACCATTCTAAGCTACTCTAGAACATTCTAATTTTCTGCGTGCCATAAGCCCATAATTCACATGCAAGAATAATAATTAAAATTTGTCCTGCAACTTGCCAGCAGCGACTTTTCGTAGAACACGATTACATTTCAATACAATTTTTGTTGTTTTTGCTGCAGGTAAAACTAGGCTTCGTTTTAAAAGTAGCTAAGTTGCATTGTAACTGATCTGGAAAATAATATACAACACCAATACTTGCTTGTATGATATGGAAACCGCGGAACTGACCGAGATGAAGCTAGATGACGGCTATTAATTTTGTATTTTTTCTTTACACCTCAAAAACTTTCTGTGTCGTTAGTTGAATGTCAAGAAAGTTCGAGATTGAATATTGAAAAAAAACATATTGGCTGAATTGAAAGAGCAATTTTTGCATCCATTGTCATTAGTCTATAAAGGTCCAGTATGGGTTCCAGGGCTTGTCAGACGAAAGTTTTTTTTTTCTCATCAGTCACTCTCATGTCTTTTCATGCCTTAGCTTGTGTCTTGTTCACGTACTTTTCTTTACCAACACCATGTTTTATATAAATTTGTCATAGATTTCCATCAGATATCTCTTTCTTGATTTGTAATAGGAAAAGGTTAGCGGCAGTGTCTGGTTTTATATTATCACCCCAAAACGCACGCTCGATGTGTTTCTCGAAACTCTTGAAGTGTAAAAGTAATTTCCGTTTCGTAAGTTATTTTTCGGTGTAATTTTTTTCACGGATATATTCTTCAGAAAAGCGTGGAAAATTGCATGCCATATTACGCGCGTGCAAGCCTGGACTCTACTCTCCCCAATCTTCTAAACGTGAACAAAATGGTGGACACACAAACCAACTTTCTAGCGTTTTCGACAGTTTGATTGTTTGCCGCGAATTTCCATGCCCCCTATTCTTGCTGCAGGAAAAGGGGTATCGTACAGCGTATCATGAGACCTATACGATTCTAACCAGTAAAGCCAGTTGTAGTTCTTCAAAGCAAGAAAAAACGGAAAGTTCCTCGTAGGTAGTTCAGTTGAACGAGACAATGGGCAAGGATTACTACAAAATGCTGAATATACCACGAAACGCTAGCGAAGATGAAATACGAAAAGCCTACCGAAAAATGGCTTTAAAATATCATCCAGACAAAAATAAAAGTCCCGAAGCTGAGGAGAAGTTCAAAGAAATTGCTGAAGCCTATGAAGTTCTCAGTGATCCACAAAAGAGAGAGATTTTTGATAAATATGGCGAAGAAGGCCTCAAGGGAACACCGAATCCTCCAGGTGCTAGCGGAGAATTCAAATTTGAGATGCCATCAGGATTTACAGCTTTTACGTTCCACGGAGATCCGATGTCCACGTTTTCTCGTGTGTTTGGAAGAGAAGATCCTTTCAAAGGTATGGTATACAGAGTTAAATCATTGAACCTATATAGATAATCTTGCTGAAGGCTATTAAAGTATGCATAAGAAAAAATAAAATCTTGCAGCTTTTGGCTCAATATTTCACTTTCACGGTAACGNACCGAAAAATGGCTTTAAAATATCATCCAGACAAAAATAAAAGTCCCGAAGCTGAGGAGAAGTTCAAAGAAATTGCTGAAGCCTATGAAGTTCTCAGTGATCCACAAAAGAGAGAGATTTTTGATAAATATGGCGAAGAAGGCCTCAAGGGAACACCGAATCCTCCAGGTGCTAGCGGAGAATTCAAATTTGAGATGCCATCAGGATTTACAGCTTTTACGTTCCACGGAGATCCGATGTCCACGTTTTCTCGTGTGTTTGGAAGAGAAGATCCTTTCAAAGGTATGGTATACAGAGTTAAATCATTGAACCTATATAGATAATCTTGCTGAAGGCTATTAAAGTATGCATAAGAAAAAATAAAATCTTGCAGCTTTTGGCTCAATATTTCACTTTCACGGTAACGATATATGTTTTCCATAGGTGACTGCGTGTTCTGGATCACTTTTTATTTCTCGCATTGCTAGAACAAAATACCGAGCATTTCTTACGTTTTAGTTGAGTTTATATGGAGAAGCTTTGTTTTTCTTCCAGGATTCATTGAATTTACTAGAATATTTCTTTCTAGTCGCAGACGCTCTGTTTGAAACATACATGTATCAATTGCAAGTTTTATAACTCTCCCACGCACGCAGTTTGGGTTTATTGTTAATCCGTTTTGCGGTTGGTAAGCAAATTTAAATTGCTTACAAGCTTTTTGGGGCTTCTTTTTGTGGTTAATTGGTCAGTCAAACTGGAATTGTGATGAGGACTAAGACAAACCAGTGTTTTTTTACAAGTGAAAGTAACCTGATGGAAGAATTTATGTCGACAAATGATATTAATGATATTTCATTTACAGTCAGAGATTTTAGTTTGAAAAAAAATCAGTATCTATCTTTTAAGGGTTTTCAGAGCTAATGATAATTGATTATAGTCTAAGAAATTCTAAGAAAGGTCTAGAACAGTTCTTTTCTGTGTGATATTTGTTTTTCTTTTACAAATTAAAATTGTTTGGGTCACTGTACATGTACTAAATTACCTGAAGGAATAACAAGAACAACAATGTTTATCTTTTCACTTTGTCTACTATTGTTATCCTTCTCAGCATTGTCTCTTAACTAAGGAGTTTTTCTTACTTTTTATTCAAACTTTAAATTTAATTGCCTTGAGTAAAAAGAAAATTGTGACACGTCTTCTCCAGAGCATGGAAACAATACTTAAGTAATCTCTTTAAAACCATGTTTAGATTTTTTGGGGGGGGCGGGAGAGGGGGGGGGGTTGGGGGGATTTAGGGGAGAGAGAGACCAAAAAATCAATGTTCAATTATTATTTTTTTTATTTTGTCAGTAGTTAGTTAAAGTCTTTGAAATGCGTGGATCTAATTAAATTTTTCATACCATCCAATCCATGGTGGGTCATTAGAATTACACGGGTGAGAGACTGGTTTAATAGTGTGAAAAGAAAGTGAAAGTGGAATTACCAGAGGGTGCAAGCAAAAGAAACCCCTTTATGATGGAGAATGGAAAATTTCTAGAATCACACTGAAAATTCCTGTTAATTACCTTTGCCCCCAAAAGTGATGTCCACATCACTTAACAATTCTTTCTTTTCAAAACTTAAAATTTATTAACCACTTTAGATTACTCTAGAAGTTTAACATTTGCTGGAATGTTCTGATCTTATTTCTTTTTTCCCACCCTCAGATCAGGGGTTATATAATAGTATGGATCTTCTTGTGGAATGCAAATGTCAATGTCAATTATTAAATTGCTCAAACAAAGTCAAGATCTTGGCATTTGTTAAGGAATAAAATAAAATGGGTCTCACCACAAAATTACTTTTTTTTTACCAGGAATGTTTAATTCTGGTTTTGGAATTCCTACAGCATTTGGAGGAGCTGACTTTGACATGAACATGGGGGGCTTTAATTCCTTCCAGCATCAAGGACATCCTGCCTTCAGTCGACAAAGATCATCCTCATATGATGACATGTCATCATTTGCACGTAAGAAAGCCCAAGATCCTCCAATAGAAAAATATCTTATGGTAACACTTGAAGAACTCTTAACAGGCACAAGTAAGAAGCTTAAAATTATCAGGAAGGTTTTGAATCCTGACAGAGTAACTACTCGTCCGGAAGAGAAAATTCTCACAATTGATGTAAAAAAAGGTTGGAAAGAAGGCACAAAGATCACTTTCCCAGAAGAAGGTGACCAGAAACCTCACACTGTTCCTGCAGATATTATTTTCATAATCAAAGACAAACCACATGAGCACTTTAAAAGAGATCATGATAATAACATTCTCTATACAGCCAAAGTCTCTTTGAGAAATGCATTGACTGGTCACACGTTGGGAACATCTGTTGCCGTCCCCACATTGGATGAGAGGACAATCAACATTCCACTCAACACCATTATCAAACCGGGGACAAAGCGCCGTATAAAAGGAGAGGGTTTACCACTGCCTAAGAAGCTTAATCAACGCGCTGATATGCTGGTTGATTTTGAGGTTGAGTTTCCAACTCAGCTTACACCAGCGAGCATTGACATGTTGAAGAATGCTCTCCCAGAGTGAGACTTTGAACACGCTAATTTGATCCAAAGTTGGTAACTAGGAAGTTTACTTAGCTGATGCTTTACTGTTGTACAAGGTTTCTTCCAAGAGAACCATTCTTTACGGAAACCTTTTCCCTATCTCACTATCTTGTATCTGGTGGGGAGTCTGGCGTAGGGGTCACCTGGAAGCTCCCAATATGGAATAAGGATGCTTTGACTGATTATAACTTACTGGGTGATTAGGGTAATTTTTTGAGAAGTTATGTAATGCAGAGAGGGAAGGGGGTAATTAAATTTTTTGAAGCCTTTAAAGTTTGACAAAGCATGAGTTTAGTTAAGGGATGGGCTGTGGCAGGCTGTGATTTGCTCACTACAGCCAACTCCACCCACCCCCAATGCACAAATGAAAGCCCTCAAAGTTGCAGAGTGTTGAAATTTGGTCTCTAGTTCTGAATGCCAGTATATAATGTTATAATTTAAAAAAATTGTCTTGTTGTAATGATTTTTGTAAGTCAGTTAACAAGTCCACAAGAATTTTCTGCGGACTGTACTCTTATTGACCATAGAAATGACGTCAAAATGTTCAAAACTAAAGTGGAATCACGAGCTGCTGGTGAGTGGTTTCACTGTTAATTTTTGAACATTTTTTGACATCATTTTTATGGTTGATAAGAGTTCACACCATGGAAAATTGTTCTCCATTTTTTTAACCGTATAACAAAGACAGTTTTGATGTCCAATTCTGTTGAAGTTTCTCTTTCTCTCAAGAAAGAGAAAAACAAATTTTGCCACCATCACATCATTTCCATGGTCTGTACTCTTATCGAACATAGCTCTCAACCAATCAGCGTGTGGGAAATCGCTCAATCATGGCAAAAAGGGATTTTCACTTTACATGACCCAGGTAGTCAGGGTTGTCAAGAGTAGCCAGCTACCGGCAAAAATCCCCACCTACTTGGTTAGTAGCAGCTGGCTACTCTGCTTAACATCTCTTTACGGGTGACGTTTTTAAAATAAAATATCCCTAGACTGGCTGCTTACTTTGACAACTCAACCATCTACTTCAAAACTTTCTGACAACCCTGGGTAGTTATGTAAAAAAATATTGTATTAATAGAAGAGTGATATCACATTCATTGATCCAAAGCATTCACCTATAATATTGCACAATGAAAAATAATAATTCATTAATGCTATGGTTTTTACCTTGAATTGAACTTGATTGAAAATTAGTTATTTTAGGGACATTATTTTTCTCAGGTGTTCAAATTTTGTGAATAGTGTATAATTATCATGACTAGACAAGCATTGCCCCAACTAGCAAAAACAGAAAACGTTTTGTTATAACACTTTAAATTGCAGTTACAATGCTATTAAAAGCATGTTTAATAATTATTTGCTGATCATTGTATACTAAACCAGAGTTTGAAAAACAGGTTTGGGAATGTTAAGAAGTACTTTGTTTCTGGAAAGTGTATTATAAATAATGTTATTCAATAATTAAGAGTCTATTGGACCCAAAAGTCACTAACTAAAAAGATTTTGACTTTCAGTTTTTTGGTTTTATTAGGTTGCCGATTGAAGAAATTTTGTCATATTAATTATGTTGTTACATTCAGTGTGTTTATCATCAGTTTTGTGTTAGTTACATTTGTGCCTTTCCTTGCAAGTGTAAAGTTTAAATTTTCTGATTATTTATTGAAATAAACACTTCAAAGAAATTGTCCATGGTTTGTTTACATGAAACTGTTCTGGTCACTCACAATGTTACCCATAATGAAAGACTGGGAGTGTGATTGTATCAGCCATAACTTTCACTAGTTTATGTATAATCAGAAGGGCTTTCAATTACAGCACATGTGTTACCCAATGCAGTTTACAAAGGGACTTTACAATGAAAATGTGTATAGCTTTACCCTCACGAATGTACATGAGGGTTCTCGGCCTTAGCATGCCCATAACCTAAGCTACGGCCCTATTTCAACACCGAGGTTTCATACATTTTCTCTTACATTGAGATGTGTCAATGTGCTCACCAGAATGTTATTTTTTAACCAAAAATGAAAATACAGCTAGCGGTTAATACCCCCCCCTCCCCTCCTGTGGTTTCATAATTATGCACATTCAAAGATCTTAAAGGAAAATAGGTGTGTCAACCCTTTAAGGTAATTCCCTTGTTTTGCACTGAGCATCACCTAGTGCACATAACTTTGCCCCTTCAAAGGTGGCGTTGATTTTCACCGGTCACCTAAAAAAGGTAACAAAGACCTTTTTTGTAGTCCTAATGCGTTTTGTAGAGATTTCGATAGTTCTACCCTACTAAAAAGGTGTTGGTCTTGAACTCACCCCAGTGCCCTTGCACAAAATGATCATTTGAAGCCAAAATTATCCCCCTATTGATGTTTTGCGATGAAACGAGGACGGTGATTCCCCTTTTTATTTGTGTTTTTTACTCCTTATGGCCACACAAAAAATATATTAGGGAGAACAAAATATGGATAGTAGAAGTTGTATTTTTTAGATATGAATGATGTGAATTTGCCCATTTAGAGCCACAGAGAAGTACAAGGTAATGATACTGAACATGTCCATTTTTCTACAGTGTTTTTTCAAGTCTAGTAATTTGAGGTCTCTTGACTTATAAAATAGAGCCCAGACAAACAAACGGGCTTAAGGTTTTAGTAAGATTCATAGTTTTTGCTATAAAGTAAGAATTTTTTATGGTTGTTTAAGGAAAAAAACACTCAATAAATAACTTCTCATAGCCTTTTCTTTTGATCAAAATGTATGGATATTAATAGGCAAAAGTTGATGTTAGTCACTCAGGGTTAGCAGGCTCAATCTCAGATTGCTTGCCTGATGCTCTGCTCTATAAGGAGCCAAAAAGTCTTAAGCCATTAATTCAATCCTAGCCCAGCATGTAGGATTGGTGCAAAGGTAAAATTTTTGGTCACCCAAAGGTAAAAGTAAGTCACCATGGCCTCTGAACATTGAGAGAACAGGCCCACCAGATGCCGGGTTAACCCTTTAAGCCCTAAGAATGATCAGCATCAAATTTCTCCTTATAATATCAATGCTTTGTAAAACAGAGTGGTCATGAGAATTATGGACATGATCACAAAACGAACTTGCTTGATATTTTAACAACTTCTTCCCGCTACTTCTGTAGGAAATGAATAGGGGCAACAAAATTAATGAGAATTCAAATTTTGATCTTAGGGTTTAAAGGGTTAAACATATATCCAGCTCCCTGCACTTTACAATAATTTTTGAAAGACACAAATTCGTTTTGACTTTGTTGTCCTCAGTAGTGATGTGGAATTTCTCTACCACGTCTCCCTCGAGAAGAATGGAGGCCTCATCTGGGGTATTTGAAGCATCCCATTTTTTTATTCTCTATCACTTGCTTTTGGTGAAAGAAAACGGAAGGAACCCAATACATAAATAACAAAATGACACCTGGCAGTTTTCAATCTTTAATTGTCAGTAATAAATAAATTAATCTACACTTTTTTCAATTATATTACAAGTTGTTAGTGAAGTCAAGATTTGTAATGGGTGTAGTACACAATGTCTAAAGAAAAAAGAGCAGAAAAGACAGAAAACAAAAATGCTATAATATATCAGCCTTATAGCCCTAATGACCAACATAACCATTTTGTTGGAACAGTGTTAAAAGAAGGTACAAACCTAACTGTATTTGATACTGAAAATGTTCGTGGAAATGAATGATGTGAGAAAACAAAGTGTATCCTTAAATAACTATTTTTGTATGGACGTCTCTCCTGTGTAACTCTAACCAATAAAGAACATCTGTGACTATACATGCATCATCAACACATTTTTTTGCAACATCTGACCATAATCATTGATAATTTCATACTATTCACAAGAGTCAAGAACAAGAAAAAAGGTACGGTGAGTTGAAGGTCTTGGATTGGAATATAATAAATGTTGATCTATTTCAGGCACAAAAACAGGCTAATGAGACCCAGCATGTCCAAATAAACTTCTGAAAGAAAGCTGGTGTTTAAAATTTAGTATCAAGAAAAAGCAATATTTACGTCCTACATAGAGGGGTTAATTTCTTTCACTTCAAGAAAACAAAGTTACTTTAATCCTTCTATAAAATGCTCTAAACACACAAAAAATTGACAAGGTCAACTCATGGAAGTATGTTAACTTACAACAACCATGTATGGCTGAAGTAGTCAAGGCTTTCAAAAGCCAAAGCATACAAGCCGCTAAGTCTGTCGATCTTTTTGTTTCGTTGATAATTAGCACTAGTAAGAAGCTAGTCAGAAACAGCCCGTGAGCTTTCTCATAATCTTTAAGCTTTATATCTCACATTCAGTTTGTTTTATAGAAATGACCCAAAATATAACGACAATAGAATATTCCACAAATCAGACGAGTATAAATGTACATAAATGGAGACTGCCAGCCAGTACCAGTTCTGTTCTCTATTCCATGCTTAATGAGGAAATATTTTAAAATAATGGGGACACCAACAAAGATTCCCCTCTACACTGTAAGGTTTTTAGCATGCTAGTGGTTTTAATAAAGTCTATTTTGAATAAGCAGCTCTAACCAGTCTCCAGCCTGAAACTGGCTCCTTCCATGTTGCTTTCTTGAAATAGGAAAAGCTTGCCTCTTAGTTTCAACCTTGCGTCATTGGAGCCTGCCCCACTCTATTTACTTCATAAGGAAGTCCTAAAAACTGGTCAGCAATTCTTCCAGCCTCCCTTAAACCACTCAGTAGGGCGCCATGAACTGTAGCAGGATAGTTCCTGATTGTGTGTTCTCCAGCAAAGAAAACCCTTGGGGGGTTGGGTGGGGAGGGGGTTCCTGGTGCCATTCCTGTTACTAGGGGTGGGGCTACTGGGGAAGCCATTAAATCATAGTCATTTCCTGAAGAGCCAGCTGCCACATATGAGTATGAACCCCGTGACCATTCATCTGACTTCCACCTAGTTACCACTGTCTCCTTAGGCTGTGGACAAAAATTAATACTATGATTACGATCATGCAGTATTATGGAGTATTTTAAATTCTGACTGAGCAATTTTTGGCCGCCCTGAGTCTAACATTTGGAGGTCATGAAGCGGGTCTGTTTCATGCATTTAGAGTAATTATTTACTGTGATCTGCACCGTGATGTCCCACAGTTCCTCTGTTGGCAATTACTTTTGTTTTAGCTTAATAGTCTATGCAACTGTACTGGTAGTGTACTTTGTGTTACAATTGCCTAGAGCAAGACTGCAATTTTGGAATTAAAAGGTGCCTCGTCAGTTGCTACTATGGTATAAGTCTTCACTTTGTGGAGAGACCCTAACTCTAAGGTCACGTTTCACACAGCAGTCATTAGTCTCACTTAGCCTGTCAACACTATTTCAAACCCGATGTTTCCCTTAGTGCGTTTTAAATAAAAAGTTATTTATTTTGGAAAGGTAATAGCCAATCAGAAAATACCTACTGTATTCGCAAAAGTAGATGACATCACCGGACAACATTATAACGCTCGCAATTCAGAAATCTCTCTCTCCTGCACCCCCATGGGTTAGGGGGTGGAGATGTATGACATTTCATACTAAACTCTTCTATGAAATTTACACGGCTTTTTGCGTGTTCCAAAATTCGTTCCTTGATTGATTTTCAGAACTTAAATCGTGACTGATCAGTTGTAATTAACAATTTTTCATGATGGCCTTGCAAAAACTGCACAATTTGCAACACTAAGTCGTTAGTTTCGCAATTTTTGTAGCACTCTTGCAAAATTTTGTGATTAAAATTAAATTTCGTAACAGAGTTCAATCCTGGAAATATCCCCAACATTTGCTCACTATCTTATTCTTCAAGGAAAGAGATCAAAAGTTTTAACAACTTCATCTTGCATTATATCTTGGAGTCAAATCAAACTATTAACCACAAACCTGTGGCACTGCACTGCTTCCAAATATTCCCTTCAACACAGCAATGGCACTTCCTACAATGATTTCATCTGACACATTTTCCAGCTTATTGGCAGCCTCACCAGCAACAAGTGCAATAAGAACAGGTGACTTATAAAGATTCCAGAAGAGGAAAAGCTCTCCACGATTTGCTGTTGTACTTCCAACATGACCGAAAAGATTTGTGTTGGGATCCCAGAAAACACGATCAAAACAGAGAACCACCTGAAGTAAACAAAACAACGTCACTTGCTTTAGAAAGTTGGCATAAACAAAATATATTTATAAACAAATAACGATTTAGAGGTAGCACATCAACAAAGTACAGCCTGCAATGAAAGTACTGCCCAATAGCCTGGGGCTAGTGGATTTTGCTATCAGGCTAGTGAATTCTGTTATTAACTTGCCTGACGGGCAAGTGAAGTTTTTTGAGGAATTCAAATTACAGAGGAACTGTGAAATCAATCTGCCCATCAAAACGTTTTGGGGGCTAGTTGAAAAGATGGTTGGGCTGGTAAATGTTAGCCTCAGCTAGCCAAATGGCAAGCTGTAAAAATGACTTTCTTTGCACCCCGAAGTAGTTCCTTGTCTCCCATTCCCAGTCGAATTGGAATTTGGAAAAACCAGCGTACTGATAGAAAAACCTCCCAGAGCAAGGGAGAGAACCAACAACAAACTCTATCCACATATGTTGTTGACACCTTGCTCCACAACTTGGTAAGCAAGAGGAAAATCCTAAACAGTCTTGAAGCTAATTAAAACTTCCTTATTAATTTAGTAAGGCTTTTAATTAGGAATTTAAGCATTGTAAATTTAGGTTTTGTTTTCCACGTTTAATTAATTTCATATGTAAGGCGCAGTTGAATATTTTCATAGAAACTACGCGGTAGAGATTTCTATTAATAATAATAATAATAGCAATAATAATAATAATAACCTTGTGGCCCTCAAGTTTACAAACAAGAAATAAAATTCAGAAAAGTAACAAAACAAAGAAACCTAGTAGGCTACATTGCTGATTTTATAGATTTTACAGTGTAACCTCGATATAACAAAGGACTAAGGGACTGGCAAGATTTGTTTGCTATACAAGGTTACGTAAATCAAGGTTTTTTTTTCGCATACAGTAGAACCTCAATAACCCGAACTCAGATAGCTCAAATTCCCCACTAACGCGAACTAAATTTCCTTTCCGCTGATCACAGTTTCTCTGAAATTTACCCCAATAACTCAAATTCCCCACTAACTCCAACTGTTTTTTGTTTCCCTTCAGAGTTCAAGTTACCGGGGTTCTACAGTATTTACTATCGGTGGTTTTAAAAAAATTTGTTCATTACACCCGGGGACTTCGTTATATAGAGGTTCATTATCTTGAGGTTCCACAGTAATTCATTCTAACCTTGTTTAGATTTCCAAACCCCATCCTGTGAATAGCAGCAGTTTTCCACTCTGGGAGGGGAGGTTGGAATTGCACGCCAGATGGATGACTTTTGAGTACTCCAAGAGGCAGAGTTATCAACACAGCATCTCCTTTAAAAGTCTGTGTTGTAGTGATTGAAGATTTGCTAGTGCTCTGAGTTACTATCTCCACACCTAAAAACAAATCAATTTAAATCCATTAAAATTTATTGTTTTCCCCAAGCTTAATGTCACACTAGAAATATGTGAATTGCCAGATGTTTGAGCAATTAAGGTGGCTCTGAACCCCTCCGTAGGTCCTGTAGGTGACTGCATTAAATATGCCATATGTCTCAAGCCCATTGTCTCGACTGACCAACAGCCCCTAAAACGTTCATCACAGATATTAAAAATGTCCTCTGGTGTGATTAAAGAGCCTCTCTACAGGTATTTCTGGTAAAATCAAACTTGCAACAATCGTTATTGATGAAACAACAATTATCTTAGGGACTAAAGCAACCATCACATTGCCGTATTTCCAATTATGTTTGACAATGTTAGTCATGCAATAATGTCCCCTTTCCTTCGTTGTCATTGTGGTTGCTCGAGCTCACTAGTAGCACTTATCAGCAAAAGAATTCTTCATATACAACAATTTGTTGAAGAACCAATGATTTGATGGAAAATCCATGACAAAACAACACTCCCTAGTACACATAAAGAGGCTGATTAAATTATTGTTATTTCTCACCAGTCCTATTGTAGCGGACATGTCTAACAGCTGTGTTGAGCCTAATGTCAAGCCCCTCAGCTAACGCAGCAGGAAGGCAGGAGTAACCATTGCGCACTGTCATGTGACTACCATTGAACTCAAAGTCATCATCTTGATCCCAGTGCTTAAGTGACAGTGCTGTCAAAGGGGTGGCATTTGCAAATTCCAAATTAGCAAAATGCCAGTCTAGAATCTGGCGATCTCTTGATGATAAGTAAACGTCACTGTAAAAAATAATCAATAACAAATTATAAATTAAAACAGCTGTGGTGGCATTCTTGATAACACCACAGTAAAACTGCTGTGTGTGTAACATATACATGCAGGTAAGGAAAAATGTAACTAAAATTAGGCAGAATATTATTACAGAACTTCATTGTGATTAATGGGTTGAATAAGCAGTATTAAAGCTACATAATTGTGTAATGTGCACAAATTATAAAGATTGATGTGATGTATGACAATCTACATCTCAGGCTGATAATATGACAACATACTGGTCAGTACTAAGTGTTTCTGGTAATTAACATACATTTCCATGGTAAGAGAATGAGAAGTTACAAATACCTTGGTGGGTTATCTTCTAGTTCCTCCAGTCTTTCCTCAATACGCAGTTGCTCCTCGACAAGCTCATCATATTCCTAGTTATATTAAAGGTCTCACACACTTAGGGTTAAACTAATAATTAAGCAAATTTCGCCAAAAAATCTGCGACTGCAAGGAGTCATTTTGACTCCAGATTAGAGGCCAGAAATATTGGGCAGAATTTTATGCTCAACAAGCCAAAAATTCTTAAAAAATTAGGCCCAAGTGAAAGAATACAACATAAAAAGTTAGTCCAGTAACCAAGTTTCTTTGTGAACCGAAGGTTGCACATTGCTGCTTTGTTTTTTTAGTTTTGATTGCCAGTTTGGGTATAAATTTCTCTGGTCAGCAATTCCCTGTGGTATGATTTAAGCATTTCATTTAAGAAGTAAGAAGTGTCCATACATTTTCAAAGATGACACACCTGGTCCTCATGTTACTAAACTGGGTAAGGTCAGGGTAGGTACCCATTAGTTCCATCAACTCACATAATTGTTACTGAACTGACACTCAAAGGAGTTGGCAATAGTCTAAACTTTTCTTTTAAAAAAAATTGAAACCAGACTTTAATTTTTGATTTTCCTTTAACTCTGAGCCATCACCATGATGTGTAACAGCGAAAAACCAAATTATACTGGTTAAACAATAATTTATTATTTAAACCACAACATATACAGCACTCACATCAAACAAAAGAAATTTAACACTTACTCGACAAAGAGCATTCAAGTCACGAAATTTGCTTTTCACCAAGAACTCTGATGTGATATCTCTGTAACACATTAAAAAACAAGTCCTTTAACACTTTGTTTTTCACTGTTAACTGATATTGTTACATGACAAACATTTGATGGGAATGTGAGGCTAGAGCAACTGAGCTTTATTTAAAGATGTATTTAAAGATATTATATATGGAATTTTTGGAAACAAAGCAGAAAACCCTATATATAATTATTAGCTACAATAACATGATCCTACTCAAAATAATGAATTGTATTTCAATCAAACAAAGGCTAGTACCAACCCAAAACACAATCCGTTAAGCTAAAATGAGAGGATTATGCGGCTGATTATGATAAAGATTATTACCTTGGTTCTTTGATCTTTAGTGCATCTTGATATTCTTTGTGTGTCTGTGTAACTTTCTCTTTCGTTTTAACCATCTTAAGGCAAACATTAAAATGGAATGCAGATTATCATTCTTCATTTGCAAGCAGTACATTACCATCTTGCATATCACAGAAAATCATGATCAGTTTAAAAAATAATAAAATAAAACGAATTCCATAAAAGTATCTGGCAGCAATGGAACCATCCCTATTGGATAACGAAAAAAACAAATATTCATGAGGCATTACTTGGGCTGATCAACAGGTAATGGGCATGGAAAAATTCTTTTCCCTTCAGACATAATGTAATAACCTCAAACTGTAACTGGAAGTCTAGATGTTACAGGTCAAAATTATGTTCAAGTTAAAATCAACCTAGGTTAAAATATTTTGACTTGAATGTAATTTTGACCAGTAACATGGATGCCTGACACACAAGGTCAGGAAACACAACAGGAGAATGACTCATAGCAGACCGCAGAGGTAACAACTTCATTCACAGCCAACATTCATGATCAAAATAACAATAAACTCTTTTAGGCAGCGTACATGCTTGGAACCTGTCCCTTGGATGAAACTACCCCACTAAAGAGAGTCAGAGACAACAACGACAACAGTTACTATTATAATAATGAGTCCTGATGGTTATGGACCAGAAACAGAGGTCAGCATACCTGTGCTAAAGTTGACTTGAGCTGCTCTTGAATTTTAAGAATCTTTTTCGCATGTTCGATCTGCTGTTCCTTCACTTGTCTTTCTTGCATCCTGATAGAAATAAACAAAATGAAAGCAACAAAATTTAATAAACAAGAATCCCAAGCCGAACAAATGAAATTTTCAAATCTGCCAGCTTACATTAATTTATTGGGTTTTTTTTATGTTGCAGAATCATTTCACCCCAAGAAAGTGCACACTATGATTAATAACAAAAGCAATAATGCAAACTTATTCATAGAAGTCATTTGAGCAAAAAACAGCACCAGAATAAATTATTGCGTACTGAATATTACGTGCAAGTGTCTTAATGAGAACTGCACATGGTCAGAAATTAAAGTTGCCTGTTCTCCCACGCTTACACAAACTTTCTTGCGCAGACATCATGTAATGTTTCACGTAATGTGTCTGTTCATCTTCACTGTTCTTTTTAATCGCACAGATTTACTATGTTTTTACAAATTTTTTAAGCTCTGGGACCACTGTAATTGGCTTACCGCTGTTGTGGTATTCCTGCCTAATTAAGCATTTGTGACCTTCTCCAGGAAACCGTACACAAATACTTTTTCCGTATAATGGCTAAAAGTTTTACAACCCGTTAGAGAAGCGTTAAAACAGTTTTGGAAGGCGTTACAAGCATTTGGAAAACTGTTGGAATTTTTTAACCTGCCGTTAAAAGCGTTAGAAAAACCGTTCAAGGCGTTAGGAAAAGTTGCTCGAATTTTGCATCGAAAATGTTCGAAACGTTACAAGTAGTCATTAGAATTGATTTTTGTTTGCTGATTGGAAGTTTGAAGCATGAGCCACGATAAGTTTTGTTCATCATTCAACCTAATTCTTAAGGTTCGAGCTGAACAATGTATTGATTTGAGACAAACGGATAGAGAGATCACTTAAAATCACAAAGAACATAAGAGCTTATTTCTGTATTAGCTCAAAAATCAACAAATGATAGCAAAAGATCAAATCAATTTAACAACATACGAACCTGAATGATAAGGTAACTACAGAAATTCAGTCCCTTGTACTACTACATGAGAAATTTCTGCAATTTGATTGGCTTAGAGCAGTGGTATTTCAGCTTAATTTAAACAAACAATAGCATGATTTGTATGTGATATTTGGCGTAAATACCACTCGTGATATTTCAAAATTGTCTCCAATTTCAATCGCCTAATGGCTCGTGAAATTCCGTATAACAATTTCGAAATATCACTTGTGGTATTTATGCCAAATATCACTACAAATCATGCTATTACCTATACAAATTGCCAAAATATCTGACAAAAACAGATCTCACAATCAAAATTAATATTAAAAAGCATTAATCAAACCGTTAACATGCTTTAAAAGGCCGTTACAAGTCGTTCATCAGCTGTGAGTTTTTGCCCATTTAACAAAAAAGTGTCATTGTAAATTTACGTTTTCCTGGAGGTCACATTTATTATTCTTTGTTTCAGTATTTATTTATTATCATTCTTTTTTTCTTTTCTTTTTCTGTCTTAATCATGTAATAGTAGGGGTGTAATGATTCATATTCGTTGCGATTCAATTCGATTTCAATTATTGTCTTTCGATTTCGATAATTTCGATTCAATTATGTAAATGTTTCTTAATTGTTATAACATAACGTGTAATGTTAACAACATGCAAACCTAAACCCTCAATTTGAGAAAAGTAACTGGGACAGGAGGATTCACAGTCGCTTGGTTCATCGCCATGTTTGAGAACCTGACAAAGATGGTTTGCCTTATTTGGAAATTCTCAAGGGGTGGTTGAAGGACAGCATTTTTACCAGGCAATACAAAATGGTGCACGAACTGCTATCGTCTTTGCTCGTCAATCAAAAACACACATTTTAAAGAGTTCTGGATTCTGATTTTACAATAATTATAATAACTCACCAGGGTTGTCGCTAAGATTTCAAGTTGCCGGGTAAATACAACAAGTAGGTGGGGAATCAAACGGCTAGAGATTTCTTATGGTTCTATTTTTCTTCTATTTTCCAATAAAAGTAGCCGGGGGACACTCTCTTAGTAGCCGGGGAAAATCCCCGGCCCCCGGCTCTTAATGACAACCCTGACTCACTGAAGGCACCCTGGAAAAAGTATGCAAAAATTGAAGCAAAATCAAAACCTGGAAGCAAAGAATCGTGAATCGAACCAAATGGTCATAATCGCGATTAATTGAGAATTCGATTTATCATTACACCAATATAATAAAATAAAATAAAATAGAAGTAGGAACATACTTGATGACAAGCTCCAGGGCATGTCCCAATGAAACTGGTTTACTGTGCATGTAGTTAAAGTCCAGTTGATGTGAAAGGAATGAAGTGGCTTCAAGCAATCTATTGAATTCACGCTCAACCATCTCATCTTTCTCCTTTGGAACCTACAAACAACAACAGCATTATTGTCATTAATAGTGTAGGTAACTGTTATACATTCCAAACTTGTAAGGCTCTTCACTTTGACCAAAAATTGTTGATGCTTCTTCCTAATTTTCATTGTATGGATTAAATCCCAAGTGTGAACATTTTATAAAGTACTTATTATGAGAAATGTTTTCCTGTGGTGCTGTCTAAAGCATGTAAATAATATTCTAACGACCAAATCTGTGAAAAACCTTACCACATAATTTTGCAATGAAGTGAAAGCTATCATGAACACTATGGTGAATTTCAAATGGTGGATGCCCATTAATCTTGTTTAACTATATAGTTATTTTCCTTTAAAATAAAATTTTATCAGTAATGGTTAAAAAATTGTCAATTTGTGTCGTAAGGTTACCGGTTATATAATTAATCAAGATCAAAGTGCACATAAAATTATTATTTGTCAGGAAGTGATGTTCAGTTACGTATATATATTAAGTAGATGAGCAATGACTAAAATAATGTGGTGACAGTGGAAATTTTATATCATACTATTAGGGTCAACATGGACACCAAAAGGATTGAGAGTAGTGCCTGTATTTAACACAAAACTCTGATGGGTTTAAAACAAAATATTAGCTATTCTTATTATTGTGATGAATAAATTCGCTAATTTAAATCAAGTGTCCTAAAAAATGGAAATTCCCATCAAAGGAGAGCATGGCAATAAGTAAACGATAGAACTGAACCACGCATTATATTCATGTCCACAATTAAAGGTCCATTCTCGATTTACAGAAGAAGAAGAGAAAACTGACACAATCAAAGAACGCATTTTTTAGGACCGGATGTAAAATATGGTAATATAGTATTCAACAATCCCATTTTCAGATATATTGCCAGGAAATGTAAGGTCAAATTCAGTAATGAAGTTACCCAGGGACTTTACCCAGGGACTTGCCTAGACAGTGAATGGCTTTAATTGACTCAAAATATACAACTTTTAAAAAGTTAACCTTAAGATCAAATATCAAGCATGCATATACATCAAAGGCGTATGTGTTAAAATGACGGGATGTATGATGAATTTTACTGTTTTATTCAAATCCACAAGGAAAGGAAAGCCTACCCTCACAGCCGAGAGTCTGCTGTTGGCTTTCTTTTCAATTGGGCCCTTCAGGAAAAAATCAAGCGTTATGTTAACTAGTGAATGTTGACATTTTTCTGTCTGTCTATAGGCCAGTTTGTCAGAAAAAGATACAAACATGCATGTTCATAAACCACAGGATTCCCCCACGGTTGCACAGGGAACCACTGCTTCCCCTGAAAGGGATGTGAGTCCATCATAAGGTCACCTCTAGGGTCACCAGGCAATATACACAGTGAGAGACACAGTGTTTTTCTTGTCTAAACAACAAGGAGCTTAAGCAACAACAATGACAATGGTTGAGGAAACGTCACTAAAAAACGATTTTCAGCGTTGTTTTCAAACTTAACCTTATTTATGTAGTATTACTCAATTTAAGGAATGTAGTGGAATTTTGAAGGAGTTGAATTCTTAAGAATTGTATTCAAGTTCAACAACAGAATGGAACATGAGTCGTTGTGTGTTCACAACGTCCTTTACAAAATGTTGTATTACGAAGTTTCACATCAAGGTAGTGTGATGGACGCCAATGAAATGTACCACAAAGTGTGCGGCAGATGCAGATTTGTTCGTTTGCTTATTATTTTTATTGGTTTTTGACGTTCTTGTTGCCATCAACATTGTGGCTGCTTAAACTCCCTAGTTATTATGACATCAGACGTTAGACCTCAAAGTGGTTTAGCAAGCCCGACAGACTTGATAAACCACCAGCTCCACCAGTTGTTATTGGTATAAATGGACGCATTACTGATCATCGTGTGCTACTTAATCTACAAAATTCTGAAAATAAGCCCTGGTATTTTTCTATGCTCAAAGGTTGTTCGAGGGCTTATTATAGAGGGGTTGAGTTTGCAAATGGTGGGAAATACATGTATTTGTTTCAGTATTTTAACAAATGAATACTGGAAAGTAACTACAAATTTGTGTCAAGGTAATCCTTCAGAACGTATTAGAGAGCTTTACACTCAAGGACGAGGACGACTATGAGGACAACATTATTTTAATTTTAAGTTTTCTCACCTATCCTGTAAAAATAGATACCCCAAACAGAGAGCTTCATTGTACTTTTTCTTCACCACAAAAGTTAGTATGCTTATTTCTGTTGAAGGAGGTAAAGCCCTCCCCCCCCCCACCCCCCAATCGCCAAACGATAAAATTTCTAACATTTGATAACTTGCTTTCGCGGTTATGACATTCTCTCAAAAACTCATAGTAGAATGACGTTGGCTATCACATTTTCCCACCAAAATGATATTGTTTCAACATGCCCACACTACTTAGTATTGGGAAATCTTGTCCACTAGTCGTCCTCATCTTAGAAACACAACAACGAACTTAATTTTAAAAAAAAAGAGTACCAGGGACTTGAGGAATTTTTTTTTGGTTTCAAAATGGGAGGGGGCATATTTTCAGGGGCTCATTTTCAGAATTTTACAGTATAATAAAGCTCATGTGAGAAATTGACATGACGGTGCAGCTTTCATCAGTAGGACAAGGGTTGCTCTTCTATAACGTAACTCGTTAGTAAGATTAGTACAAATAAAAATGTTAAGTAATGTGCAGTGTATGAGTTTAATTCAATGTTAAAATTTTTCCTCTTTTGCCTGTCTCAGATAACAGACAACAAAAACTCCAATCCAAAACAAATCAAAGAGAGAGGTCAGTTGATTGCAATGAACATTAACCCTTTAAGCCCCAATATCTACATACAAATTCTCCAACTGATCTCCATACATCTCCTTTAAGAATCAGTTGAGAGAATTTGCTAAAAGATCATGGAATTTTCTCTACAATGATCATTTTATTAATTCTCAAAACTTTATCTCTTGACAGTGAATGGATATTGTTAGGAGAAAATTGTTGTTGGTCACTATTGGGACTTAAAGGGTTTAGTGAAAAAGCCTTATTACAACACGGAACACTTTCCCAACAGCCAAGAAAGACCAAAGAAGCAGTGGATATCTTGTGAGATACACATCACTCTGCAAAACTATTTATAAAGGAATATTCATGGTAGATACTTCTGGCAGAGGCTGGAAGAATGGCATCAGATAAAAAGCTTTTTCCCAAAGGGATGCAACATTCAATAGTGTAATGGTCAGAGAGACCCTCATGTGATTTCAAGACAAAGGATCTTCTGAAAAGCAATCATTTTGAACCGAGTATATTTTTAGCAGACTGATTTTGGAAATGAAAGAGACTTGAAACAAAACTCCACTCTGGGAAAGTAAAGGACTGTTTTCTTTTCCACTGCTTCTTCATTTACATATTATGTAAACACAGTGGACTGTGGGAAGTGTGCGTGTGTGTGTTCTGGAGGCTAAAATAGCTAGCAGTTATTCATACCGACTTTCCATGAGTCTCGTAAAGAGGACACTTTTGCCTTATCTTATGCAACTCCATGTTGATTTGATCAGATAACACTGACAGAGGATTTCCACCTAAAAATACAAGGGCCAATATAAAACATAACCACAACTCCGCAGTGCTTCATTACCTACACAAGTGGGTTAAAAACTAGTACTTAAGCCAGGTCAAGATTAAGAGTCCTGAAGAATGCTTTGATATTTTTCATTCAATTAAGATGCTTGCATCATGGAAAGCGATCATTTCTACTTCTTTCAAGAACACTGCCTACTTTAAATTTCCCTTGGCAAGTCACTTTGGAGTTTGTTTTTCAGACAAAATCGAAAATTCTTCTGGGAAATCCGTTCACAGTTTTGTTTTGACAGATGCCAAACAGGTCCTCATAGTGGTTTGTGTGAGTTTTTCAGTCATTTCTTGTTAGCTGTCAGGCACTAATTTAGTGGCAAAATGACAAAATTAATGTAATCAGCTGGCAAGTGCATCCATGGATGAATAGTCTAAGTCAAGCACAAATACATATGTACACGTAAAACCTTAATTGAGTGTTGGGAAATCAGTGTGTTTATGAATAGAAATCCCTGTTCAACGAAATCAGTCACTACTGACAGTGTGGGTTGTGAAAAATATAGGTTTTTCCAAATTGTGCTTTGAAATCCCTCCCAAAAATCCTGAAATACAGCCCTAATATATCAGGGAGGAATTGCTTGGCACGACTCATGTGTGCGTTGAAAGCTAAACAGATATATTACTCACCCAGTCCAGTAAGAACCATGGCCCCAAGATCTGCAATGTACTGGCCTTTACGGAATGTTGCCACCCTTCCACCAACACGCTCCTGCAGCATTAAAAAAGATTGCAAGGATCTTAATCAAAGGATAAAAGGATTAAACAGGTTATTAAAATTAGTAAATGACAAAGAATCATGCGTATTAACAGACTGTCTATCCGTGATACAATCATTTTTTATTACCCAAGCCCAGAACCCGCAGCAGGGATGCTAGCAAAGGTAAAATAAATCAGGCAACAAAACCATGTAACTTGCTTTGCAACATTGCTGCATAACAAGTTGAATAGCGATGTTACGTGTTTTACCACCTACAAATCAACCTGTCTTGCAACAAATCAGGTTAGTGCATGTTGTGAAAAGTTGTTACACAAAGTAGAGAGTAGTTCTACTTTTCGCAAAAGAATCTATACATGTTGCGTGTTTTACAAGGCAAACTTATTTTGCAGCAAGGACTGATGTTCCTGCTGGATCTAAACAGGATTGCAATAATATTACTTCATTGCAATGAAGTAAGTCTGAATATATAGCTCAGAGGTGATCATAAATATTTGTTTTTCTGAAGAAGCCAAGAAAATAATCAGATTCTTCTAGCCGTACATTCGGCCTTGTTTGATTACTCTTCAAAAACAAATAAATCAGATATCCCCTGGACTTTTCAAACTTCTTCCCAGGGAGAACAGTGATGTACATGAACAAAGAGTGCAAATGCAACATTTCTAAACTGACAACAAATATTTACCCTGGCTTCAACTATTGTAACATCAATTCCAAAAGACTGCAACTGCCGCGCAGCAGTGAGACCTGAGATTCCAGAACCAACAACGATCACTTTAGGAGCCTTCTTTACTAAAAAGAACAAAACAAAAAACCCACAAACAACAAGAATTAAAAAAACGTATATACAGTAATAATAAATTAAATGACCAATATTATATTATTGTTCTGTGCAGGATTTGAATCTTTTGGTAAACACATCCGAACACCTCCCTCGCAGCTCATGAATGTGGAGTTAAACACCAAAAACTGAATAGGGCTTTGGGGTGGTGAATAACAAATAATCAATAATATCAATAATCAAAATTATCTTTATTATGCTTTTGTCGATGTAAACGGTTAATGTTACACTCTAGGAAATTTAATTACAGTTCAAGATATATTAAATGTTGTGAGAATAAATATGCAAGCTAAGAAGCTAAATGAACCAGTTGGTTTTCTTATTAGCTCCCTGAATAATTTAGGTTCTAGGTAGCAGGTAAAATCAGAGGAAATACAACGAGAAAAAAACAAAACAAAACAAAGTAAGAAGAACTTATATTTACATGAACTATGTTGCTTCATCAACAAGACAAAAAATTATTTCATTTGTTGTTCTGACAATAGAAAGCGTATAATTTTCTTTGGAAATGCAGACACACCTAAGTTTTTTAGAAGAATTCCTGAAGAATTTCTGTGTCTGGTACCTTGTCCAACCTACCAAACAATCTAGTTTCTTTCTGTTAAAAGCTACTGCCAAGACCTCTTCCTTATTTAGCTTAGGTTGTGCTCTCCTAATGTGGCACACTATTAGTATAGGTAATAGCATGATTTGTGGTGATATTTGGCATAAACACAACTAGTGATATTTCGAAATTGTTATAGGTAATTTCACGAGCCGTTAGGCGAGTGAAATTTGAGACAATTTTGAAATATCACGAGTGGTATTTATGCCAAATATCACGTACAAATCATGCTATTATTTGCTTATACTACTGCCCACAAAAGGTTTGTAATTTTCACTTTTAGGTATTTCAAATTAAGCTGAAATACCACTGCTCTAAGCCAATCAAATTGCAGAAATTTCTCATGTAGTAGTATAAAAGTTATGTAACAATACTTCAAATTACATTTATTAGAACACTTACCTGGTGGAGGCATTTTCAAAACCTTGTACACTCCAAAGTTTATCAAGCCATACCTCGCAAGGAAGGCATGGACTCTGGCTGCCAGCTTTGGATCATCTACATTCACAAAAAAAAACAACTTTATCCCAACTTCAAAAATATAGACAAAAGATTAGGGAAAGAGGTTTGGATCTCACCAGTTAAATCTTTTTTCAAAAAAAAAAAAAAGGTTGAAAATTTGATTTGAGGTACACTGTCCTACTTGGGATATTGCAGCTTGTAATCGGAATCACTCCCTAGCTATGTCTACGTCTATCAACGTACAGTACTTTCCAGAAAAATGAGTCAGCTACAGGTGAAAACATGATATTTGAGAAAACTTAACCACCTTTAGCTTCTGAGGTATCTTATGAAGAAGTCTACCAGTCTCTTCTTTTACCTTCTTCAACTTTCTGTACTCTATCCTCAGGCAGACACACTGACTGCAAGCCAAAGTCTAATGCAGGGCAAGTTTTTTTAAAATGCAAGGTGAAATTTAACTTGGTTTTCTTTTAATGCGCGAGTACTGTAATTACACTGAACTTACTATTATTAGGTGGCTCCAGGCGTGAAAGTGCTTGTTCCACAGTTAACTGCTGTCTTGGATTCTCAATCCATAGTTGTAACTGTACCACAAACAAACAGTATCCATTAGCCAAAAAATGTTCTCCTGTTATTTTTTCCTAGTGAAGTAAAATGCCTATGAAAGAAAAGTCACTGAGGCACCTTTCTTTCTTTATATTCCGAAGGGTAAGCTTGAGGATAATAAAATTTACAAATTATGATGCATGTATTAGCATCTTCAAATTATCTTCTAATCCTAAAAAATTCTAAATCTAAAACCAAAAAAGTTTTACATACCACTCTATTTCTGATGTACAAGAACTGTTTCTGAATGGAAGGGGGACCTTGTGATACATCAGGAAAACAGGTTGCCTCTTGTGATGTCAATTTGTCAAATGGCAGTCTGCTCTGGAAAGCTGCGCCCTCTAGCCCTGTCAATACAAATCATTGCAAATCACTATCACAGCATTTGAAAATTTAACAATATCTTCAAGTGATGTGCCTGAAGAGGAAAATTTGGCAAGAGACTTTACTGTAGATGACAAGAGCCTTGTTGGGCTTTACCATCCCAAAAGACAAATAATATCAGTGAGTGAATCCCAGTTAAACCTAGAATTTTCGGGTTCTGATTCATCTGCTAAGTTTGATCACTGCAATATCATTCTGATTGTAAAAAGTACAGTAATACACTAGCACCAACTTATGTAGTCACAAATCAGGGCCGTCACTAATGTTTCACGTTGCCGAGTATATGCAGTTAGAAGGTGGTGAACTGAATGGCTAGGAATTTGTTTTGGTTCTATTTACGTTTTGTTTCCTTCATGAAAGTAGAAGGCGGTCATACTCATACATGAAGTAGCCAGGGGAAATCCCTGTCCCCCGCTCCTTAGTGACAGGCCTGATAAATGACCTGATGTCCAGTAAGCTTGAATAGCTAAGGTACAAACTGTTTAACTGTGACAATAGATGGACCGAAATGCACCAATGACATTATGAGTCTTCATAGCCTATAACATCACAGCTTTACTGACAGATGACCGATAATATCATGACTAAATTGACTAATTAATCAGATTAATAACCAGAGTTTAATACCATCAACTGACGTGATACAACTCACTTTGACTCTGACGATGACTACCACACAGGTTGTCGAAACATCAGTTACTGTCAACAACAGTCCCATTCAGAACAACCACCACCTGAATGGTCATACTCAACCCACTTAATACACTGTTGTTTCCAGTCATTGCAAAGTTACTCAAATAAGCAACATGTCACCAAATAAGTGACCTGTCTCTTAAAAGCACCCTACAGCTATAGCAACCAAAGTAAAATAAGCACCGTTGTCACCACATCAAGACAGTAACTACAAAATCACACCTTTCGTTCAAGAGTTGTTCAGTGTTCTCCCTAAATTTTAGCTCAGCAGGTAAGGGACCATTTATGGATGGTAAGGCAAAATATATACTTTTCTAACAGGGGGGGAGGGGGGGGGACAGTGGAGTGAGGGACATGGACCCACCCTCACTGGGAAATTTTTTATTCCCATATTTTAAGACCTATTTTACACAAATCTGCTGTCGTTATCTTTAGACAACAAGTTAAAACGTTTGATTCCAATAATTTTACTATGTCTTTAATGTTCTCTTTCCAAAATGCATGTCCCCAAACAGGAAAGCTGTATACACAGTACAGAACCAAAATTAGGCACGGGCAAAAAGTGGCGTAAGAAGTTGCTGTGCCGCAAGAACATGCAAGCCACCGCTAGAAGTGAAAGTGCCGTGTTTTTAACGGACCCTTTGTGGTTTACCCGCAAGAACTTTGAAACGAAAGAAGTCAAAAATCTTCACCACAAGAACTTTGAAATGAAATAAGTCAAAAATCTTCACAGCAAGAACCTAGAAAATTATAGCAAGCCTCAAGAAGGCGCATGAAGTTCTTTCTAAGTGTTAACCTGAAAGAAGTTTATGGTGTTTGTTGCCTTTTTGTTACAACATCATTTTGTAGCGTTGATACTAATTCACTCTGTGGCAGTAAAAGGTAATCATGCAAGGACACACGTAAAATGTTGCCTGAGAAAGCGAACAGCTTTCTCTGCTTTTTCTGAAAAGTGAACACTTCAATCGTTCAGCGTTTCCAAAGTTAGATAAAGCGTGTGAGGCGTTTGTTCAACAAAACGATCTGTAGTTTCGAACATCTTGATCATTTGGATCATTTCATAGTACAATACCATAGTCTCGGCAAAACAAACCAAAGGCGTTGAATTTCTGCCACAAGAAAACATGGGAATTATTTATTACTTTATTGCACTAATTTGAAAGAGCCTTTAGTGAAAATATTCCTTACTTTACTTTAGCATTTTTTTTTTCCAAGAGCACTTTAAGTTGACACAGTTGCACGTGTGGTCTCAAATTACACGGCTCTTTTGCGAAACGTACTACGATCGTTCCCTATTTTTTGAAGCCCTGCTTTTTTTATCGAAATTGTACACATTTCCTCGCTTAAAAGGTTAGCTTTGCACAAGATGATTTTGTATATACCGTTTCTAAATTCACCGATCATGAAACATGAAAGTATTTTTAGTTTATCTTTTTTGTTTACACTTGTTATCTATACATTCCTGTCATTGCAAATCAGCAGGAACGAAACAGTTTTAGAGTTTTGAATGTTCAAAACTATGTGCCTAAAGTATAGATTAGTGATCCGCTGACAAATACAGAAAGCGGCACAGCTATTTTGTTGACATAATAAATTTTCACTTGTCTGCAGCAATCTTACCGCACTGAAAGAAGTTGTTGCGCTGCGGTTTCGAAAATCCCTCAGCAAAGAAATTCTTCTAGTTAAATTTTTACCGCAAAAGAAGTTCTTACGTCTTGCTGGATTCAAGCGCAAGCGCCCTGCAAAAAGCCGCACGAAGTTGCAGCTTGCGGACGCAAAAAGAAGTTCCTGCACTCGCATTATTTTTGGGCTGTACGTTTTGTACTTAGGTAGGTCTACTTTTCCATATATTCATTCATTTTCTTGTGAGGATCGGATCGGATCACAACTTGCATATTTTTTTTAAAAAATTAGTTAATTAAGCAGTTGCAGGCGGTAAGAAGTGTTGCTTCAGGCGGTAAATTTTACCGGTTACCGCCTGATAAGGAGAACACTGGTTGTTTGTGGTAACTTGCAAAACAAGACTACCAACCTTTTGGCACATCATCTTCCTCTTCTTCTTCATCGGGTTGATCATCAACTTCCATGCTGGGTGACAACCTTGATGTGGTTCTTTGAATGATTTCATCATCAGATAACTCATCATCTGTCAGATTTGCCAATTTCACATCAACTTCAGTATATTCAACCTAGTGCAAAAATGACAGCTTTTTAGGGCCTGTTTACATGGAGGTGGGGGACCCCAGGTAGGTGAGGTAAACTGCTTAGGTGGGGTGAAAAAATAACCCTCCTTTACATGCAATCATACAACCCCGCCATCCCGGGGTGCACTTTCTCAAGATTATTGAATGGTCGCTAAGCACATAAAACAAGAAAAATGCTGGCAAACCACGAGTTTTTGCGATTAATGCACTTCTACCTACACTCACTTGTTGCTCTTGCTGCAACCTTCAGTGCAATGGCTTTCTATTGTTAACTTTCATGATGATGCAAAGCCACCGCCAAAGTGAATTTCGTGCTAATTTGATGTATTACGAATCTGACCCCGGCCAGGCGGGTTACCTCACCTTGAAACGTTCACATGGCAAAATTCGACCACGGCTGAGTGGGTAACCCGGTCTGGAAGACCGGGCTACCGCCTTGGCGGGTCACCCCACCTATCATGTAAACGTGATCAAATTAAAATGATAGATTATATGGACAGGCAGGTTACCCCACCTAAGCGAGTTACCTCACCTACCTGGGCTCCCTCACCTCCATGTAAACAGGCCCTTAGTTCTATAATAACGCGAAGGAAAGGTACAGCCTTTACCATCAAAACCTTGCTTATTTTCCTAAAATGTATTTTTGAATTGTTAAGGTGCTGACCAAACATATCAATGGTCTGGGGTTTCGACTCCCGCCAGAGGAAAGTTATTTTCTTTTTTTTTTTTTGGTAATTTTGAGTTTGTTTTCTTTCTTTTTTTTTGCACATATTTTACCTCTTGGCTGGTTTCAATTTATTCATTTTGCTTCCTCTCATCACCGTTTGTAAAGTTGGCTAAACTGTTTATTAATTTTCGATATTAAATCTGGAGCAAGCTTAGCACAGCCGTAGCACCACATTTGAAACAGGTCTTACTTTGTAGAAATTTACACGAACACTAAAACAAACATTGTAGGAACTCGTCAGTATTCTAAACAACAATCTTCAAATGAGCGGAAAATAAATAAATTTGTAAAGCTCCAAGTCGAAAATTTCCCTTACAATGTTATGCAATATTATTGTCATCAGAAGAAAGACGACCAGAGCAAGATTGTATTTGTTTTTTAGTCTGCAGAACTAACACACAGTCATTTCCTTAAACGACTTTTCAGTCTGAGGAAAAACATAATCGCTAATTTTAATTTGAATCTAAAGAAAAAACCGAGATCTATTCATCGCGAAGCGTCAAAAACACATGGAACAAACGTGTCTATCATGTAAGCAACTTGTGCGACGAATTCGTTGAATGAATCGACAATCTTTCCCAGTTCCAAGCTTTGCCATGAAAAATAAGCTTTAACATGCACCCTGGACTATTAAATCCAAGCTTTATCGACAAAAGATACAATTTTGTTTTACTTCAAGCTTTCCGTTGGATGCTTCGCGGAACGGAACGACTGCAGCGAAGGGAGTTTCTACGGTACTCTATTACGAATCTTACCTCCATTATATTGAATTAGGAAACATCCGCTGCGAATTCTCCCAAAAATGCGAAGGACTTTATTCGAATTCCCCCAAGACGGACAGATTTCTCAACTTTTTAACTGAAAATCTCGACGCGAACAATAAATGAACGATAAAGCGAGTGAAAATCGCCCATTCTTCTCGCGGACAATTCATTGCCTCGTGACCACCCCACATGAAATATGTAAACAATTCCATAGCCCGCAAAGCCAAAAAAAAATTAAACTGATTTATAAGATGAGACAGACGGCGGACCCTGAAAGAGTGGTCAAATGAAATATAACAAATGCGCTGTATAAAAGTCCAGCTGAATGCATGTTTCAATTAATATTTCTGTAGCTTTCGTCCGTTGCGTGTTAGCGATTACAAAGTTTCATTGTTTACGGAGTGACGTATGTCTTTCATTTCTAGTCGAAAATCTCTCATTTACTCCCATCCGAGAGGAAACGAAGCGTTTCCAAAGTTTATGCAACTTTATGGCTTACCATAATTCAAGAACGTTTGGCAAATGCTAACAAGGAACATATCAAATAATGCGCTAAAACAAAGGCCATGTGACTCCAACGAGCTTCCAGCCACTCAGGAATCGACGCTTTGACAGATTATTTAGTGTGATGCATAAATTTAGAGTCCCTGGATCGGAGGTCACGAGAAATTTCCCTTTAAAAACGTGATTCTAAAGACCTCGGATGAGTCTTTTCTGCTCTAGCAAGACTTTCATCCGAAGCCTTAATTAAAAGGCTAAAGCCCAACACAAAACCGTATTGTTGACAGTGAAGTGAAGAATGTTGCATAATATATCATGAATGACAAATTTTAGATAATGAAGACAAACTGTGAAACATACTTTAGCGCGCTTGCGTTGACTTGTCCTTCTGGCCAAATCTGCATCCATGTCGAAAATTTCAGAAGATGATCTTGAACCTGGGCTAGATCCGTTTTCTCCTTTTTCTTCCATATTGTTTGGGTCTGAGTGACTTCCATTAACACCCTGGCCTGGCATACTTGGTTTAGGTGCTATAAAAGGAAGGCCGCTTGCCAGCTTTGGGAGAATTGGTGGCGGATATGAACCTGACATTATCAAATTCTAGATGATATTTGACCAATCTGGCCAGTTTTTAACGAACCTAGTCTAACTTCTAACTTTGGAAATAAATTGTGGAAACTGGGTGAAAATTCAGCGTGATAAACTGGCCGAGGGAAATGACAATGGACCAGGTGGAATAACAAACGTGATTCACGCCACGTGACGTAAATTCACCAATCACGACAGGTGATAAACGCATGCGTATGAGCCGATCAGGTTGTTTCTATAACAACTGATTATTGACCGGATCAATATACAAATTGTTAGATTTATTTGCTTTACCAAACTTATGTTTTTGAGTCTATGGGCTTATCTATATTTTATTACCTTTACTTTGATAGCGCTAAGCGGGTAAAACGAGCGTTAATCGATTGTTTTAGTTTCGGATCGATTGTATTTTTTCACGAGAGATAGTCTACGTCATCAACAATGTTCTTGACAACTGTCATAAGAAGCCCTAACAACCAAATCTTGTGGGAAGTCAGCGAGTAACTGATAATACGGAGAATTTAAAGGTTTGAATGTTTCTTGGAATATTAAACGATTTTAAGAGAAAGTCAGATGTGAGAGCTCTATTAGACCGGAAACCTGAAATATAAAAGTGTTAAATTTCGGGGGCAGATGATAAAAAAAACAAATAATGTACGCTGGGAAGAGTAAATGGCTAATGTGCATTAATTTCTTTTCCTTTCCATATCGTCAAGTGATTGTCGGTCAATTTATCCATTATAAGAAACCGTCTTGTTTAATTATCATGTGAAACTTGAATATTAAGCCGACAAACCTTTCAGATGAAATATTCATGAGCGTATATTTTCTGAAAGGAATAATTTGCGGGATGTTTTTGGTGACGGTCCAAAATCCCCGCGGGGAATGTAATTGTCATGTGGTGATATTTCTTTGAACTTGTTGAACCGTTTACATGATTTCATTACTGACATACATTTAAACAAAAAAAGGTAATTATCACGATGAAGTGATCCTCAAGACTTTATCTAGTTTGTGTACCGTACCTATTTGGAATCCTCCAACTAACTGAACTGATGATCTATGACATCCATAGACTTCTTTCGTGAGATAATGAGTTGTTCTTGGTGACACTTGTCAAACTAAAAAAATAAAAAAATATATATTTTAATGCCGTGAAACTAAAGTAAAACGGGCAGTAAAGAAGTAGATTACAATGTTGAAAAAGAGGACTAATTTTTTAGTTATTTATCTATCTATTTTATATTTTAAACACTCTTCAACATTCTTCGGCCATTTCAACTTCAGTAAAAATAAAACGCAAACTGCAGTAGCAAACATGATGAAACAACGCATGTTGCAAAAAACCGGTTAAGACTCGTTTCGTTAAGATGTATGTTGTTAAATACTTAGGTAACAACATGCATGTTCATTTTATATTTATTTGGGAACTACATTATTCTGGTAGGGTGTTACATAAACCCCAAATAGGGAGGAAGGTTGCCTTTTTTCTGTTTGGCGTTCGCCTCCTCCACTCCTCCTCAGAAAAACGCCTGATCGTAAGCAGTTAGTAGTTAGTTAGCAGTGGGAACAGTTGTTTTAGAGATTATCTCATTCATAATATATCTGCTATCATTAATGTAGCTAGCACTCAAATAGTACATGGTGTTCTCCAGGCTTGTTGGATTGAAATTTTACAATAACGGAGAGAATCCTAGCGCGCTGATTGGTCGAGAGCTATGGTCTATGAGAGTATAGACCAAGAAAATGACGTAACATGTCACGGAGTGCTGGTTGTTTTGTTTTTTTGTTTTTCGTAAAAATAATTTTACTCCTCAACATGGACTAAGAAGAACCAAATTTTAACATATGAGGAGAAATTTCTGACAGTGAGTTAATTAGTGCTTGAAGCTGCAAAAGTAGAGCAAAAATACGAAAAACAACAAGAAAACGTTGCTTCGCGCGTGATTTTCCGAGAAGCTTCGCAGGAAACTAAAAATAAATGTTATTTCAGTGAAACCACTCGCGTGCGGCAAGTGATTCCACTTGAGTTTTGAACATTTTATAACGTCATTTCTACTTTGAAGTATATGTATTCGCTGTCTAGTTGATTCAATATGTTGATGTTCGTGTATCTGTTTAACTTTATTGTTATGAGTCAATCCTATTATTGTAACGTTTTTACTTTTCCTTGCCGCCTCGATCAGCTATAGGCTACTTTGCGGGCAAGGATTAATTATGGCTTGTATCAAAAGTGTTTTAATAAACTTGAACTTGAACTTGAACTTGGTCTATAAGAGTGTAGGCCATGGAAAATTGTGGTCGATTTGTTAATTGGCAAAGTTAGTGGAACTGGCCCGCAAAAAATAAATTACCTGAAGACGGAGGACCGCGAAATTTTTTATTTTTTTTAAACATAACCGCTTTTCGATTTCATCAACTGCTGGAAACTTAGTGATAGCACCCCAGTCTCGCGCTTCGCTGACCAGCGGAACGAGTTGGTAAACATAACCCCAGAAAAAGACTACGGCATGCGAGCAAACTCTCTACAAATAACCTACAAATTACAAAAAAAGTAAGATTGTACAATGCATGTATCATGACATCAAGGGTCCACGTTAAAGTAATGTGTAACGGCGTTCAAAGGTGCAGTTTATTTTATCTTCGTACTCAAGTTAGTAGTCCGGCCCATTACCAAGGTTTTATGGGTTAGTTCAAAGCACGTTGACAATGTATCAAAGTCCTCAAATAGGACACGCTTGTTAACGCAAGGTTCTTAAGGTGAATCCCAGGTTGAAACCGTGTAAGTGTGCATCTACGCCCGGCACGCCATACTCTTTCGACGTATGCCTGTTTTGTGCTACGAGAGCCAATACGTCAGTTAGTCTATAGCAAGGCATCCAGTCTTTAGCTACTAGCTAACTCCCTTACTAAATAAACAACTTCCCTATTCAATCACTGAAAAAGTCGGTAACAAAAAAATTCATCCCGTAAGTAAAGGACTAATCTGTGGAGGGAGCAATGGAAGAAAATAGAAAACTATAAACATCAAATAGAGCTAAGATCAATGACTTTATACAGCATTCATCATGAGTACAAATTGTATTGGAATGAGAAAGAAAATCAGTAACTGATCTTAAAGGGTATCATATCGATAATTGAGTGTTTTCACTGAGAGCACTGAGCAGTTTCAAGACGATTTCTTTTTCGTCTTGATTGAAGTCTCTTTTAAAAAGTAAATTTATAATGAATTACAAACAATTGGTTCAACGCAGAGGAATAATTTTTCTCCCTTTTTCTCAAGATTGCAATGTTCAGAATAAAAGTGGTCACAGATTGAGGATCGGGTTGTATAGTCATTTTGTGAGCATACCATGGATTTATCAATTTTAACATGTGCAGTTTTATTTACTTCTAAAACTGTGGAGTCATGGAATAAGGGGACAGCAGCGCTTTTTCAGAGGTACGCTCATTTAACTCAGTTCCCAGATAAATCCTCCGGGACCCCTCAGTTCTCCCACGCAGGATGGGCCCCTGTCCCACGTCATACATCCCCTGATAACATATGCTTTCTAATCAGCATGGTGAAGTTAAGTACGAAGCGGTGGAATGACGATCTGGTCGTAAACTTTGGCAGAGCATGTTTCGCTGAAAAATTTGACGTTTTAGTACAGGGACCGCGGAGGGGGAGGGGCTGGTAGGGCCGCGGCCCCGCCACTTTTTTGCGTCCCCGCCCCCACTTTTTGCGATAAAAAGAAAAATAGTTAAAATAAAAAAAGGCTTGAAACAAGTTTTTTCCGTTTTTTATTTCTTTTAAACATAACCGCTTTTCAATTTAATCAATTGCGGGAAACTTAGTGCTAACACCTCAGTCTCGTGCTTCGCTGACCAGCGGAACGAGTTGGTAAACATAACCCCAGGAAAAGACTACGGCCTGCGAGCAAACTCTCTGGGGTGCTTATACAGAGAGACCTACAAATTACAAACAAAAATTAAGATTGTACAATGCATGTATCATGACATCAAGGGTCCACGTTAAACTAATGTGCAACGGCGTTCAAAGGTGCAATTCATTTTATCTTCGTACTCAAGTTAGTAGTCCGGCTCATTACCAAGGTTTTATGGATTCGTTCAAAGCACGTTGACAATGTATCAAAGTCCTCTAATAGGACAAGCTTTAACGCAAGGTTCTTAAGGTGAATCCCAGGTTGAAACCGTGTAAGTGTGCATCTACGCCCGGCACGCCATACTCTTTTGACGTATGCCTGTTTTGTGTTACGAGAACCAATACGTCAGTTAGTCTAAAGCATGGCATCCACTCTTTAGCTACTAGCTAACTCCCTTAGTAAATCCATTAACAACTTTCCCTATTCAATGACTGAAAAAGTCGGTAACAAAAAAATTACATCCCGCAAGTAAAGAACTAATCTGTAGAGGGGGCAATGGAAGAAAACAGAAAACTATAAATATCACATAGAGCTAAGATCAATGACTTTATACAGCATCCATTATGAGTTGTATTGGAATGATAAAGAAAACCAGTAACTGATCTTAAAGGGCATCAAATCGATAATTGAGTGTTTTCACTGATAGCACTGAGCAGATTTCAAGACGATTTCCTTTTCGTCTTGATTGAAGTCTCTTTTTCAAAGTAACTTTATAATGAATTACAAACAATTGGTTCAACGCAGAGGAATAATTTTTCTCCCTTTTTCTCAAGATTGGAATGTTCAGAATAAAAGTGGTCACAGATTGAGGATCGGGTTGTATAGTCATTTTGTGAGCATACCATGGTTTTATTAATTTTAACATGTGCAGTATTATTTACTTCTAAAACTGTGGAGTCATGGAATAAGGGGACAGCAGCCCTTTTCCAGAGGTACGCTCATTCAACTCAGTTCCCAGATAAATCCTCCGGGACCCCTCAGTTCTCCCACGCAGGATGGGCCCCTGTCCCACGTCATACATCCCCTGATAACATTTGCTTTCTAATCAGCATGGTGAAGTTAAATACGAAGCGGTGGAATGACGATCTGGTCGTAAACTTTGGCGGAGCATGTTTCGCTGGAAAAGTTGACGTTTTAGTAGTCTGAAATATCTGGAAAAGGTTCTAATATTTGTATCCTTCTAGTAGTTTAAGTTAGGCTCTGTCCAT